TTGCAATGATACTATGTTGAGCTAATGATTGTTGACATATCAAGATGTGCCCACAAGCATCGGGTTAAAATCCATTGAAGTTTGAATATCATACTAGATGTCACGCTAACGACGTGTCAATATATTGTGAACTTTTAATAATCATACCTACTAGTACAACACCCGTGTATTACACGGGTGCTTGTTAAAAAAATTATTCTTAAATTTTAAAATTAATGAGAAAACCATATTAAATTTAGTTTACTTTTTTACAAAAAAAAAAAATATATTATTATATATTTTAGAATGATATGTGTTACTTATGACTTACATGTGTTATATTATATTAGTTTTTATAACTTATACTAACTACTTGAAATATAAATATATTAGTTGATAAATAATTTTATTTTTCTAATTAATATTAAAAATAATTTTATTATTGTTATAAAGATAAATATAAATTATTTTTTTTATACATACAATATGGATGTTAAATCGAAGTTCATCAAAAGAATATTAATTTGATATATTACATATGTAAAACTGATAAAATATACAAAAGTTATTAACTTTTAAAATATATATACAATTCAATAGTTATAATAAAGAATGATATTAACATACAATTAATACATGTAACATGACTATAAATAATCAACATGTTTATGGTAATCCGAATCTAATTATTTTTTATTTGGAATTAAATTAAAATTTACCCAAGCCTAATAACGAAGCATGTAATTTTGCCAAATAGGATTCCGAAGCACCAGAAGCAGCCACGTAGGCTCAGCGCATTCTGTATTAATATATAGGGGGATGTTGGAAAATCAGTTATAAAAACTTTGGTTTGACCTAACTTGACTGATTATTTATGGATAAATATTTTTTTCAGGTTGAATTAGATTAAGTAGAAAAAAGTTTTGTTTCGAGTAAATACTCGTTGTATACTTATTTTCTCAAAATTAATTTTCGTGAGTAAAAATAAATGATTTAAGTTAGTAATAAATGGGCACGTAAAACTATGACTGTGGGATTCAAATAGTCAACAATCCTTCTCACATTGATCTCTTAAATGAGATTAGATCATTATTACAGTAAAGAAAGTTAGAGAGGCCACAACATCAACAAAGTTATGCACCAAGTGTTAGTGTTGTCTTCAGCCACACGCTCACGGGCCCGCCTACTTGTCGGTCGACCAACTCAGCTAGACTCGGGCTCGGGCACTGGTTGGGGCACGGGCACGGGCCTGGGCATGGGCCTGGGCATGGGCCTAGACCTTGGCCTAGGACTGGGATTGAGACTTGGTTCTTGCAATTAGAACCTTATTTGGGTTGTTACCTACGTTTAGTGGTAGATGACTGTTATTTTTTCCCTTTTGTACTGGAAGTCCTATAAATAGGACATAGTAGAACTAGCAGATGACTTTTGCCGAAAGAGCAACACTCGCCTTAGCTATTATCTTTTTGCTTTCAGTTTGTAGTTTGTAGTTCTGCTTATAGTTTTTATCAAACTTGTAAGAACTGAACCTTACACTTCAGTTTACACGATAGCGTGTGATCGAAACATTCAATCGAAACATGTTAGTTAGGTGTACACTTCTCCTTTGATTCAGCAGGGTTTGGACATTGTCCATACTCCATTTTGTATATTTCAAATCATCATACATAGTCACACACATTGGTATATATGAGTATATGTGAACACAACCAATTAAAATATATCACACATATAGAAGGTAAAATTTCACCATGTATATGCCAACTATTAATAAACCTCATCACACACCACTCGTATTGTATACATAGTGAAAACGAATTAGCGGATAGCGGAATATATTAGCTGATTTGACCAGCGAATTGCATTAGCAGTTTTTAAATAAGTGTTTGGTAAATAGCTGAAAGCTTATAGCTGTTTGACATTGTAAAATGACCAATAAGGCCATTTTATTATTTAAGGTTTATTCTTTTAATAATAATATTTTAAAACATTTAATATTCTTTAGTTGGTAATTTATAATTTTTTTTTAAATTTACTAATTTTACATTTTTCTAGATATATTAATCATATGGACGACATATTATTATTTATTAGCATCATAAAACCAATGTAGATTGTAAAATAAATAATATAAATTAAACCAAATAAATGATTTTTATGAATCCTCTATCCCCAAAACGCTGCCCTAATTAACTTTTTCTAAATTAGAGTTTTTGGCTCAACAAACTTATCAAATAAGCTATTTACCAAACATGCTCAATAGCAGATTTGACGGGCCAAACCTCTCAATTAAGTTCAATTCGTTAATTTATATTCACTCCGCTATCTTCTAAACGGGACCTAATCCCACCAAGAAATATTAAATCTTGAAAAGGAATTGAGCCTAACGGTCTAAAGTACATGCATTATTGAGCTTTTTTTAATAATATTTTATATATGTGGTCCAACTTTTTTTTTTTGTTCATCCATTTTTGGAAAATCATGTTTGCCCGAAATTTTCATTTAAAAGTAGGATGCATCTGATGGAGCTTTTTTCAGTTGTTTGGCTTTAATGCCATGTCACAACTATAAAAAGGTCATAGCAGTAAATGGTAGTTAATTGTTACACCTGAATAATAATGACCTTATAATTAAAGTGCACAACTAATTTTTGGCTTTTCAAGATGCAATGTAATTAATGACCTTGTGTAAACAAGTTTAGCTAACAGTCAAATTTGACAAATAAAATAGTAATTGACATTTAAATCTTATTTATGTTAGTCGGTAATTGACATTGAAAATACACTTTCAACATAAATGATTTCACGTTCTTTTTACATTATTACTCATTATTTCATGATCCCACTATCTATCTAATCATATATATAAATATAGAACAATTTAAAAAAAGATTAGTCCATATGAATCTCATGCCTTAAATGTGTTCGTATTTAACTTGCTTCAAAACTTATGTAGGGATGATGCAAAAGTTTCCATTTTACAATGTTTTTTTTTTTGGGTGCCCGACTAATTCGTTGGTCGATCCAAGTCGCACACTTGGTAATAGTGGGTGAGTATCGCAACAAAGGTTTTTTGCATCCATAAGAATTCAAATTTGAAATCTTGCTTAAGCGACATCAAGTTGTTATCATTTGAGTCAACCCTTCCATTTTACAGTGTTAATGTGTTGTAACTTTAAGCCACAATCGCTCTCCACCAAAAATTGATGTCATAACAAGTCAAATTTGTCTTTACATTGGAGCATAAAACACGTGATGTTGTAACGTTCTTGCAAATGATTTTTTTTTTTTTTTAACTAATTTTTTTCTTTAAATATAAAATTAATGAGAAAA